CCAATTACATTGACTGCTAGCACAAACTGTACCTTCTCAGACTTGCGTCACCTTCTCAACTTACATTTGATTACTTTTTTCCCCCCATGATTAGATGCACATTAGGTACATTGTAACTTATATTACTAGGCTATAAAATTTGAATGATATACATGTAATGATGTATCTGTAAACCATCATACCGTACAGCACTGATGAGATGGACTACTGCATGCCACATGCGTAACTCGTAATGCATAATTGAAAGCATATTTTCCTGTATTATTAAAGGCTAACATACATTTTGCAAGACTGTTCATAGGGACCATTACAAATGATGCACATACAGGATACGCATGCCTCTTGGAATAAAAGTCAATCATTTCACTTTTTCGTGCAATTATTTTGAAGTCCCACATATCCAGAACTCAAATGTCTTGATCGAAAATGCACATTTCCACCTGAAAATGTTGATGTACATGTGTAAGACAATTTTCTTTTCAAACCGCACACATGTACATGTATATCCTGTGTGTGTACCACCTCTAGGGTACCTAGTGACAGACATGTAGTAAGCAGTAACATACTGTATAAATGTTAACGTACATGTACATGGTGTACATGTATGAACATTTATGTACATGAAATAAATAAGCAAACATTATACATGTACATACTGTACAAAAACAATGTGCTTGCTGACTGTACATGTACTACGTGTGTATGTACCAGCATAAATCTGGACCGCTGCACACAAGAATATACATGTACATGTATGTACCCTTTTTTCCCCTTCAAACATGTACATGTACATGTACAAATGTACATGTACATACACTGTATGTGCACTCAATGCAAAAGTTAATCACCCAATTCAACTGTTCATGAGGTCAGATTCTCATAATAATTCAACTTCAGGAGGACTGTCCGTTTACTATATGTAAGTACCAGTATACATACATGTATGCAATATGCAAGACCATCAAATCAAACCAATCAAACGATCTCCATAAGTCCTCAATCTACATTGTGAAATTCTGCTGGCATTTGGAGCAATATAGTAGGATTGTCAATTGTACATTTTTGACCTTCACTGACAATTTAAAACTACAACTCTAGTACATGTACATGTACATGTACCGGTACATATATGTAAATGTACATGCACATATGTACATGTACATTGTGTAGGCATACATGTATTACATAGGAGATTTTGAATGTTCAATGTAGGACGAGAAGACAATCTTGAAAAAAACTTTAATTTTTCATCATTACCATCAACATTTTTCAGATTAAATATACATTGGGCCTATTTATTGATGAATTAAAACAGAACAAAATCAACATTTGGATTGTAAAATGTATAAAATGTACATGTGCAAAAAATATGCTGTACATGTATATATATCATTCTAACACAAACTCGAACTGGCACTATCACTGTCAGTTCTATCTGTAATGTTAGTCACTGTTCTTGTGTTTATCTGTTCAAGTTTTACTGTTTACATGCTTAGCAATCATTGTAAATATTAATTATTACTGTAAACCAAATATTTTTAGTCCTTGCACTTTTTCTTTGGTCACCATCTTTTTTAACAATAAAACCGAAACGAATGAATGAATGAATGAATGAATGAATGAATGAATGAAAATCACATGCAGACAGTCAAACGCTTTCAAGAACTAAAGAAACACTTACACCATGGAGCTATTTATAAGAAAAAGATACACAATACCAAATTCAAGAGCAAATCTTTCTTTTTCTTTATTCAGAAAAAACTAGTAAACATTGGAAAATGTACAACGCGAGACATTTATTTCCCCACTTTGTTATCACCCACCCCCTCCCGATCCCAACAACACCACACTCCGGTATTCCTTAATTAATGTGGCGCAGACGTCAGCCGCGAGTTTTACTGTACGTCTTGCCCGCTGTACAGTCAACCCTGCCCGCGAGTTGAATATTCCTCAGTAGCGCTCTGGCATAGCTGGCATAGCATGGGGTTTTCAGTGAGTCTTACCGTACACAGTAAAGGTCGGGTTACTAGGCCAATGGGAACATTAACGGAATGAGACCTAAGGTCTAAAGGTCTCATCTGTGACATCTCCAGCATTGCTGTATTGCGTCACCGTACACATTCAACTTGTGTATGATGCCGGTGATTACATACATGTAGTACAATCGGCGCACACATAGCGATGCTAAAAACCATAACGCTTTAACATACATGTAACATGAAATGATTGCTCCATGGGAAATTATATACATCATGTACATGCGTGGGCAGTACACTGCATTAATTCTAGAATATTTTACTACATGTATAGATGTACATGTACTGCAAGCCATTAGGTTAAGATTGCAGTTTTAATTTTAACCCACAACCACACACTTGAACACACACATTGTCATGCTTCTTGGAATGTTCTGCTCACTGCCATAGGGACAACAAAAATTGTTTATTTCCAAAACTGCTTTTATGCAAACATCATTTCCTTAAAAGCCAACTTACATGTAAAACCAAAAAAAATGGAAAAAGCTTCAGGATGTGACGCCCACATGTTCAAATGTTTCAACAACAAAAATTGTAATCCGTGTACAAAGTTTCTAAAATGTTTAAATGAAACCTAAATTATAAAAAAGGGACCTAATGTTCATGAACGTTCACGCAATACTTCCTTTGAATTAAACATTCTATGTAGCACCAATAATTAACAACGTTTTCAAACCTATTTAATTAACAAAACCTTAGAAGCACCACAGCACTTGATTACATTCAGGGTACAGTACATGTACGTGTAGTTAAGTTTTTACTTTTTCAATGACTGCCTGCTGTACATGTTAGCTTTTTCTAAAATACCAGTATTTGCTAAATGTTTACAAAACTAAACGCAGTCACATCCTTAAAAAAAAGGTTCATGAAGGTCCCTACTGGTGTCCTTTTTTGGGGGTCCTGATATCACTTTGACACAATACTTACATCATGTACATGTAAAATGATTCTGTTCTTGTTTGTTTTCATTCCAAAAAGATTTTAACCATCCTCAATCCTGCAAAATCCTCCAACTGCCACCATGTACAATTTGATTCAGCCTCAATCCTCCAAAATCATCTTTTAGGCTTATTTATTTAATTTGTTCAGTGGAGGGGTTGACCTTTGCCTCAATCCTCAAAAATCCTCCAACAATCACTATTAACCCTAACGATCCCCAACCAGCCAAACTCCAACACCAAGGTTTGTTGAGATCTGTTAGGATGAGTACTGCACTATTAAACTGACTGTGCTTTACAAAGGATTAGGCATGTACCACAAAAACTGTGCACAGTTTACCATATGGTGTTGGGATTTGCAAGGATGAGGAAGGTTCCTAGTAAATCACCCTAGGGAGTTAGGGTTAATGGGTTGAGGCAGTGACATGAAAATGACATTCAGAAGCAGCACGGATGATATCGAATATCACGCAGGACTGAACATAAACAATGCAGGGTACAGCCTACGAACTCAAAACAATGCGTCCCCAAAATCAACTTGACACTTTTTTGTCATTCAGCCTCAATCCTCCAAAATCCTACAAAACCGCCAGGATTGAGGAGGATTAGGCTCAAGGTGTGATCTGAAAGCAGGTCCCATAAGAAATTACAGCAATTATAGCACTTGTCAATTGAACGCTTCAAATATTCAAATTTTAAACGTCTGGAGACGCGATTGCAATTGCCGGTCTGTAAGACGACAGGTGCAAATAAAGAGGCAATCAATATCAATCATGTAAGCTTGTCTAGTGTTGGCTTAGTCTCGACCCCAGACTGGATTTACATTTTGTTTCCGTATTGCAGCCCATCCCTGTCTAGCCGCAGCGTTGGTAGAGGGCGCTATCAACAAGATGAATCGAACTGAATCTGTGTTCAAGCTAATCCGCTGGCATCAGGTACATTGTATCCTAGGAACTTCTTCTGAGGTTGAAGTGCCAACATTCCTAAGACTGGATTTGATTCATCCAGTTGGTACATGTAGTGCCCTCTACCACTGGAGGGGGCTTGACCGCTCGAGTCAGGGATAGACAATTCCACGGTTATGAGAAGAGGTGTAATGTCCGTGACAGACCCAGTTAACTATATCTAACTAGGCCAAATAAAAATACTTCTGCTTCCGATTACGATACATGGCATTTGAAAATAGGTTAGGTACATGTACATGTATGTAGGGAATTTTTTTTTTTGGGGGGGGGCAATTTTTTTTGTGTACAGTCATATGGGGGTGTCTGCAAGTAGTCAAGGGTAAAAGGTAGTAATTGATGGTTTTCAGGTTTTTCCCCTCATCCCCCCCCCCCCCCAAAAAAGGGAAGGGGCTGTCAGAATAGGGTAGGTAGGGTAACCAGAAACAGAATATTTTGGGGTTTATTCACGGCCATTACATAATGCTAGTATTGCCCGGATCGGGAATGACTGAGTTATTAGGGAAACACAATGGACCAGTGCTTGGTCTGCTTGTTCCGATAATCCTAAAGGTGTGCATTCACAGGTATTTCTGGAACCAGGTACACGTTACCACAACAGTACGATACCCACAGACTGCTTTTGACAACAAACGCATTCAAAGATTTGTAACAAAACTCTCATCACCCGGTACATTGTCAAGTCCAGGTTGGATGAATGATTCAAAATAAGGCATTCACTTTTGGTGTAGTGATTTTTCCAAGAAACCTGTCAATACACCATGTATTTTATTTGAAAAGTGGTCAGCTGATTGTATGCAGTTTCTTTTGTGGTGTTTATTTTTGTGTGATTTCGTGTGTAAAAGAAAGCTATATAATGGGCCCATTCTTCCAGACTTTGCTTTTTGTAAAATGATGTTATTTTTATAATCACTTCCATCAGAAAAAAAAATGATTAAAAAAACAAAAAAATACTGAACACATTGGGTGCATATCAGTGAATCTAATATGTAATCCAACATAGTGTAGAACAATTTTGGGGAGGCATGGCCAATAAAAAAAATGTGTGCCAAGTTGAAACATACCTATAGTTTCCCTGAGTTCTTGGCACAATGTAATATGAGGGAACTTGAGTAACTGCTTCCACTTCTTGCTCCTCCCCTTCCGTTTACCGCCTCCACCTGCAAGGGAGCAACAACAATAGCAACCTCATGAATAACACAATGACATAATGAATATATATGCATTAGAGCCAATGAATAATTTTATGCGTCGGAATATGACCAACTGTTTCCAATCCTTGCTCCGCCCCCTCATTTACCATCTCCCCTGCAAGGGAGCAATAACAATATGGCTACCTCATGAATAAAACAATGACACAATGAATATGCATTAGAACCAATGAACGATTGGATGTCTCAGAATATGAGCAACTGTTTCCAATTCTTGCTCCTCTCCCTCATTTACCATCTCACCTGCAAGGGAGCAATAATGCATGTAGCTACTCATGAATAAAACAATGACACAATGAATATGCATTAGAGCCAAGGAATGGCTGAATATGTCGGAATATGAGCAACTGTTTGCAATTCCTGCCCTGCCCCTTCCGTTTACCATCTCCAGCTGCAACGCGGCAATAACAATAGCAACCTCATGAATACATTTTTTTTGTTTCATCCCCTTCTGTTTCTCCCCCCCCCCCCCCTCGAGTGCGCAATAAAAGCAACTTCAGGAGCAATGACACAATATGCATTACAGCCACGGAATTATTACTTGAACAATTGTTGCCATACAGACCAATTTTGCAATTACGCTGACTGATTTGTTCACTCTTACCAACCAAAATAATGTCACACGATGTGGCCCTGGGGCATGTACAGTGTTCAAGGGGTTGCAGGTTCACATCACGCATTAGCCAATTTCTTCACTAAACCACAGCATTGCTTAAAAGTGAACCTTGTCAGTTTGTTTTGGTTTGTTTTGGGGTGTTTTTTTCAAATGAGTGTTCATGCCATGCAAAACATTGGATTCTGCGTAGAGTAACTCTTCACCTAAATACAGACCGAGAACATGGCAGTGTGTTTCAACTGGGCTGCTGAAATCAAATTACAATACAGGTAATTAAATTGGCACCAGCTGCTACTGATGCATCACCACCCGTTATTAATTTACAAACCAAAAAAACATATTGAGAAATAATTACATGTGGACTGCAGGTCGACAGTGCAGAGAAACTACTTCAGCCAACATTCTGCTGTCACTGGGTTATTCATTGTTTGCGGTCTTTTCAAAAATTGGAATCCATTTTGAAAATGGACGCATCTCAAAGTAAAAATGTATATATATCAACTACAATGTACACATTGCTTTCGAAATATGTACTATGTATAGTTATAAAACTTATTTGTTTCTATAACCATGATAACATAAGATTTACATTAGAAGGGATTTTCAGGTGAAATGTCTTTTTGTGACTGTGTGAGACTAAAGCCTTTCTTAAACACCTACTGTATCATGTAAACTGTATTTTTCAATTGAAATAAATGTACCGATAGGTTTCCGGTACCAAATTTGAAAATGTGTACAAACAACCCATACTTAGGTCTATATTCTTAATCACAAAGCTTGCACACTGTTCACTGGCTGCATCCAGTGGAAATGGCGTAACTGATAATACTTTGACAATGCCGGCATGAAAGAGAGACGTCTTAAATCACAGACGCTGCCACTGCAGAGTGTTATTAAAAATGCATCGCTCGCTCGACCACGGCCACTAGCTCGGGTAGGCTCAAGTACTGTCCCCGCATCCAACACCCGTCATGCAGAGACGCTGTCACAATTAAATATGAAACTGCAGCGCCGTAGACGTGCACCGGCTACTGCACATTGTCTATGCAGCGGCGGATGCCGGAACATGGTGGATCCGAGCCATATTGGATCAATTCACGCAGGCCTGGGTACAAAATAAAATTCACGATCCTGATCTGAAATGGTTTGGGTGGGGAGGAGGAGGCGGGGGGGGGGGGGGGGGGAGACTTGACTGAGGGTGGGGGACATTGAAGCAGGTGCAGAATTCGGAACAATGTCGCAGGTCAACACAGGTGACCTACTAATTGGGATTTGGCGGATGGTTTTGGCTATGGGTCATTGCACAGGCATTATTTATAATGTATAACATTGTATTGTTTTCCTGATGAATCAATGAAAATATACAGTGCTACAGTTTGGGACGGAGTAACAGGAGGGGCGGTTTAGGGCAGCACAGGGACTGTAATGGCTTTGTAAGTCCCAACAAGGTCATTTTTAATCGTGCCAGGGTCCAACTTAAGCAGATGAACGGATACGTACATAACAAGAGTCAGTATTTGAATTCTATCACAGAGGATTATAATTAGGTATAAAGTGGTATGAAGCATAAACGACAGTACTTTAAAAATATCTTTTCCAACTGGACTAAAATTTTACAGATCAAAGCGTGAGTGTCATAAACACACTGTAGACATGTATGCAAGCGTACACTAGTATTGCCATATTGTTTTATCTGTTGCTGTTGGCCAAATAAATAATAATACTAATAATAATTAACACATGCATCATCAGGCAGCCAAGGTCATAACCCCCTTCACCCCCATGGCTGTGAGAAGGTAAAAAAAAAAAGTGATTATTTTAGGTTTCCACATACATGTAGCAATATTTCTTGATTTCCTTTTGAATTGTGAAGTAATTTATCCTTTGGCTAAACAAATTTCACAGATGGTTAAATGTGTTTTGCCGAAGGATACAAAATAAGATTGCATTCAGATGGGCAAGTTTGCTGCCACACAAATTATTTTTTGCAACAAAACTACCGTAGCTCACAGATACACGACAATGAATACAAATTTTTAAAAACAAAATTGTAATGAGCTTCCATGCATACATGTGTTGCCCTATAACAGTCATTTGTGCACTACTACACGTACACGTTCAATGTATCTGAGAAACTAAGGCTACACTGGTACTACAAAAATGTGCATGGACATGATTGAAATTCCATGAGAACACAACCAAATTACAATTGGCCAAAAAATGTATACTTGGGTCAATTTCCATGAAATTTCTATACCAAAAAAAAAAAGGAGTGCGAAAAACATGCGACCGTTTGCTAGAAAAACTGACACAGACATGTGTACGTGTACAGAATGCCAAATCTTGCTGATCGGCAATACCGTAGTTAGTGCTGAATGCACTGCACGATGCTGCACACTGGGTGTGGATTTCCACAGTATAATAATATACAATCCTACAAATCTGTGAGTACACTGTACATGTACATGGACGGGACCTTGTGCGGCAGCCTTTGCCAATCTGAATGCAATTATTATAAGCATGGTCTTGTCGCGTACAATGTACATGTACGTACTTCTATACATACTGATACACATGCCATACATGTGTGTACGTGCACCTACATATGTACATGTACATACATGTACATGTACATTCATTCACATACATGTACTGTACATGTACGAATACTAAGGGTAATATAATAAAAATATAGATCTTGTGTCTCCAATAACACTGGAAAAAAACTGGAATTTATTTTCTTCTTATTTTTTTTTTTACACATTGGAGGACAAGTGGACAATTACATGTAATGCATCAACTACATGTACATGTACATGAACGTCCTTCTTCATTGTAAAACTGACACATGATCTGTTCGTTAATATTACAGATAATTTCGAAATTGCGTGACAACTGCGATTCAAGCTACAAACCGGCTGATATTAAGAAATAATACGGGGCGCTTTGGTGATACATGAAGTCCACAAGCTTCTGGATTCATGACATGGTAAAGACATTATCTGAATGACTGGAGACGACCAGGGCTAAGCCTGAGGTGCTAATTTTCACCGCGTATGAAACACTGTGAGCGGGAGAGCTGCTGTCACAGTATATGAACCCTGAATGCTGCAGATCACTTGTTTTTATCATGGATGGTTCAGTATGGTTTTACCAGAGGACTTGCAGTGTGTCTTATGTAAACCCTCCCCCCACCCCACCCCACCCCCTTTTTATTTTGGGCAATACATTTAGCAGTTCTCAATGCAGAGCACCAGACAAGGTTAATAATATTACCCCAAAAAAATCATTAAAAAAACTGCTTCCCACATAAAAATAAAACAAACCCATAATAAAAAAGTATTAAACCTTACAAGTTACCGTACATGTATGCTGGAGGTTAACACAGTGAGGTCATTATCTGCAGGTCATTCATGTGGAAACCGTTCAAAATCTATGCACTTTATTCCGTATTCTATTCACGCAATGATTAAGCAATGTATTTTTACTTGTCATTCCTGATATAATTTGGAATTCTTTTGTGGGGATAATGATGTTTTTCGATTAGGAGGTTTCCTAATGTATACATTTTTGCATAATTTATTTACAAATGCACATGAATAATGTAAATAAGGCAAAGAAAAAAATACCTGTGTTTCCGGTTACCTCACCTAACCAGAATAACCATGCAGAACCTAAATCTTTTTATTACAAAAAATGTTATGGTACCGACCCACCCTAGTTTTGGCAGACATCGTTCTGCATTTTTAAAACTGTTATTTCCTTTTGTGTAATGTGGTTGGCAGTGCAGTCTTGCTGCGCCATGCACCAAAGCCAATAAACAGCGCAACAATCTCAGAATAAACAGTTGATTGTTACGAATGCATGCACAATTTTTCTTTTTTATTAACCCTACCGGTAAGTCCCTAGGCCTTTTTGCTAGGATGTAGCCTCAATCCTGCAAAATCCTCCAATTGGCCTCATGAAAAAATAGCATAGCCTCAATCCTGCAATTCCTACGTTGTTTCTTGAATATGGTCCATGGAGGGGTGACCACTGCCTGGAGCAGTGCGGAGGATTTCAAGCATAATCCAGACCTATATTTTATGCATGGCTGAGCAAAAGCAACACAAGGTCCGGCCCAAGACCTTGACAAAGTGTATCCTATGAAATCAGTAACACACTTTTGCCATGTAACCTCAATCCTCCAAATTCCTCCACTTTGGCAAAGAGGATTTTCAGAGATTCAGGGCGGTTAGGGTTAACCGACCACATTTCTTTTCTTTTTTTGCTGTAAAGTTGAAAAAGTCGCAACTATGAGACAAGTGCTCAGTGGCGGTACAGTTTCGTGACT